GGGGCAGTCTCATCATGGGTGATGTGTCTGCAAGATTCCACTCTTTCTGGAAGGTGTCGGGTAGACTGGAGATTTCTTTTTCTTTTTCTTTTCTTTCTTTTTTTTTTTTTGGGGGGGGGGTGTGAGTGTGGTGCTGGGGATTGAACCCAGGGCCTTGTGCATGAGAAGCAAGCACTCTACCAACAGCTATATCCCCAGCCCAAGACTGGAGATTTCTAGGCACCACTCCAAGGTTCTGAAACAGGATGAAATTCAAATGTCCCTACAGATCTTTCCTCAGACTTGAAAGGAGACAAGATGGTTTAGGTAATTTAGGGCTAATAAACCTTATATTGCCAGCTTTTAAATGAACACTCCTTAAAGAATCAACATGCCTAATGCAGAGCTGAGCAGGTCACAAAGTTTAAGGTGATAAAGGAGACAGATACAAATGAAGGCAGAGAAGCCAGGTTTTATCATGCTTTTAGTTCCCCATTGGGCACCTGAAGGCCTAAATGAAGAATCAGTGCTGTTAGCAAAAGCAGCTTCTCTAAGTTCCTGTTACAATGTGGAGAAGTGGGTCAGGGTAGATAAGGAATTCCTACTCACTCTGTGCCCATTTATGGTTTTTAAATATTGTACTATTTGCACATAACAATTAGTTTTTGAAGGGGGCAATTAATCTTTTTTTAGAACCCCCATGGGTCTCTGACTTGCAAAATTGTTTCTAGGAACTTACAAATGAGTAAAGATGTATGTCCAAAGTTATTCCCTGTAGTACTGTTTATAATAATGACAACTGGAGATAACCAATTATCTAGGAATGAGGGATGGTTTAAATAAGTTATAGCACATCCATGTGCAAAGGAATACTCAGCAGCTGTCTAAAAGAATGAGGCAGATCTGCTTATGCTGAAAAGTAGCGATGTCTATATTACAGTTTAAGTTTTATAGTTTAAAGGTTGAAATGATAACACAAGGGAAGAGTGGATAAAGGGAGGCTGGAATTGATTAGTGAACACTACATGCATGTGTTAAAATATCACACTAAACACCATTTATGTGTACAATATGTTAATCAAAAATAAAATTTATACTACATATATAAGCGTGTGCACGTGTGTTTGTGTAAGACACAGAGTCTTTCTGTGCTGCCCAGCTGGACTTGAACTTGTGATCTTCCTGCCTCAGCCTCCTGAGTAGCTGGGACTACAGGTATTTACCACCATATCCTGTTAAAATATATATATTTAAAAATAACAACACTAAAGGTACAGAGGAATCCCTCTAAGTTTCAGTCCATTTGTCATAAGCTGCACAATAGAAAGATGGTGTGATGAATTTTCACCAAATCCTATGACCATGTTTAGGATTACCAGACTCAATGTGTGTGTGTGTGTGTGTGTGTGTGTGTGTGTGTGTGTATGAGATATTTATATCTGTATCTATATCTATAATCGTATACATTACAGATATATACCAAAATACACCAAGAGATTAACAGTGGTTATCTTTGGGTGATAGGCATTGTGAGTTTTCTCCTGTGTAAGGTTTTTTAAAAATCCTTTCTCAGGAGGCATGATGGCACTTGCTTGTAATCCCAGCAACTCAGGAGAATGAGGCAGAGGATCACAAGTTCAAGGTCAGCCTGGGCAACTTGGTGAGACCCTGTCTCAAAATAAAATTTTAAAAAAGGGCTGGGAGGGCTGGGGACATAACTCAGTTAGTAGAGTGCTTGCCTCACATGCACAAGGCCCTGGGTTCAATCTCCAGGGGGAGGTGGGGCAGGGCTGGGAATGAAGTTTAAAGGTACAGCACCCTTGAGTTAAATCCCCAGTTCTGCCCCCACCCCAAATCCTTTTTCTCGGTATTAAACATGAATGACTTCTGCAATCAGGAAGGAAAAAATCTATTACATATATATGTAACTTACATATGCATATAATTTTCATATAATGTAACATGCATGTGTGTATGTGTGTGTCTATGTATATATATATTTCTTTTTTTTTTAAATCAGGCACACTTTACTACTGAGCTACATCCCCAGATCTTCTTATTTTATTTCTCATTTGAGGCAGGGTCTTACTAAGTTGCTGAGGCTGGCCTTGAACTTATGATCTGCCTGCCTCAGCCTCTCAAGTCATTGGGATTACAAGCATGCACCACTACACCTGGTGATACTCCTTATATTTAAAATAAAAATATAAGGCTGGGAAAGCAGCTCATTGGTAGAGCATCCACCTAGCATGCACAAGGCCCTGGGTTCAATTCCCAGTGCATCCCCCCCACCAAAAAAATATATAATCCTCAGCAACAAAAGTGAGGCAGGGGGCATTATAACATCAGAGCTTAAATTAAACTACAGAGCTATAGTAACAAACACAGCATGGTATCAGCACCAAAACAGACATGAAGACCAATGGTACAGAATAGAAGACACAGAGATAAACCCACATAAATACAGTTATCTCATACTAGACAAAGGTGCCATAAACATACATTGGAGAAAAAACAGCATCTTCAACAAATGGTGTTGGGGAAACTGGAAATCCATACATAGCAAACTGAAATCAGACCCCTATCTCTCACTCTGCACAAAACTCAACTCAAGTGGATCAAGGACCTAGGCATTAGACCAGAGACCCTGCACCTACTAGAAGAAAAAGTAGGCCCAAATCTCCATGTCAGCTTAGGAACCGAATTCCTCAACAAGACTCGTAAAATGCAAGAAGTAAAATAAAAAATGGGGAAAAGGTACACTCATACATTACTGGTGGGACTGCAAATTGGTGCAACCACTATGGAAAGCAGTATGGACTCAGCTATCCCACTCCTTGGTTTATATCCAAAGGACTTAAAATCAGCAGCCACATCAATGTTTATAGCAGCTCAATTCACAATAGTTAGACTATTGAACCAACCTAGGTGTCCCTCAATAGATGAGTGGATAAAGAACATGTGGTATATATAGTCAATGGAATACTACTCAGCTTAAAAAAGGAGTGAAAGTCTGGCGTTTGCCAGTAAATGGTTGGAGCTGGAGAATATCATGCTAAGTGAAATAAGCCAATCCCAAAAAAACCAAAGGCTGAATGTTTTCTCTAATATGCGGATGCTAATTCACAATAAGGTGGGGGGCACTAGGGAAGAGTAGAGTCACCTTAGATTAGGCAGAGGGAAGTAATGGGGGAGGGGATGTGGGGATAGGAAAAACAGTAGAATGAATCAGACATAACTTTCCTATGTTCTTATATGAATACATGACCAGCGTAACTCCACATCATGTACAATCACAAGAATGGGAAGTTATATCCATGTCTGATATGTCAAAACACATTCTACTCTCATGTATAACTAAAAAGAATTTAAAAAAATTAAAAATGCAAAATACATATAGCATAAATACAGCAGCAGATATAAGATTCACTTCCAAGCTCTGGGGAGGTACTCACAGGCAGGCCAAGGCTACATGACTCCCAAGGAACAGAGCAACCACAGGCTAGGACAGGCCTGGACCTCTGAAAATATGAAGGCGCCACACCTGCTCCAATATTAGAGAAATTCTCACCTGTTTCAGTTACCATTACTCTGGGTCTCTATTGTAAGTAGCCAAACCTACACTGAAGTAATCCAATAACTGTAGCAACCAACTTCACTGAGACCCACGATGCTCCAGGCACCATGTCCACATGCCTCATGCCTGTCTTTCTAGATCATAAAGGGTCCAACACGGTAGGCACTATCATGATCCCCATCTAAAAGATGAGGAAACTGAGGCCCTCGGTAGCTGAGTGCTTTGCACTCGTCCATAAGGATTGCAGTTAATGAGATCCTAACACAGGTAGTGGCTCCAGAGCCCTACATTACCCATGACACCATTCCACCCTCGGGTTTGGCTGATGGCCATCTGCTCCTTGACCAAACTTTGGGACTAACAGGTCAGCCTTTTATCACAGTGAACAGTGTTTCTCCCTGAGCAACGGTGCTTTCTAACCTCAAGGCCTGTGTTTATTTATCTCTAAATCTCAGAAGCCTCACCCAGGAGTTCCAGGGCTAATGGAAGTCACCAACCAAGTCCCTAGAAGGTACAAGTTTGTACAGAGAAATGTACAAATGGCCTCCAGACAGACATCCCTCTAGGTTCCCAGGCCCCATCCCCACGCACAGGATTACAGGCAAATGTACAGAGGAACACCTGCAGGGCCAAAGCCCAGGATGGGGAAAGGTGGGAAGTGCGTGTCTGCAGAAAACGCCCACTAGAGGGGAGCGCCTGGCAGAGGGCCTGGACAGCAGCCGGGGAGCCCTCCAAAGGACCACCACAGGCCCAACACCCCAAGGAGAACTACCTGAGGATCTAAGGATGAGCACGAGGCCCCCGGGGGGCCTGCATCACTCCTGCCCAAGGGATCTTCTTAATGACTCAAAGCAAGACTCAAGTGATGGGAAGGGGGATCTGAAAAGTCACCCCATGTCCACCTACACGAGGTTCACTCCTTATCCATCCCAAGAATCAGCACCCAGCTCCAACTTTAACCCACATTTAACAGATCATTAAACCAACAAATCTTATTTTTAGGATTTTTGCTTTCCAACATGTGCTTGTTTGAATTTTTTAGTTTAGAAAAAACAATCAAACCTTTTTCCCATTACAAAAGAAGAGATATTAGTTTCCTTTTTTAAAAAATATATTTTTTCTAGCTATCAGCGGACTTTATTTTATTTATTTACATGTGGTGCTAAAGATGGAACCCAGTGCCTTGCACATGCTGGCAAGCGCTCTGCCACTGAGCCCCGCCCCGCGAGGTCCCCTTTTTCAGGGTGTCCTTGTCTCTAGTGAATGTCCACCAAGTCGGAAGCCACGTGAGCAGGGCAGCACTGGCTCCCAGCTGTGCCAACATGCAAACTCGTCCCGAGGCTGAGCCTCGCTTCCTCCTGAGGTGTTTCACCAGGACCACAGGCCCCCCTGCGCTGTCCCCTGCCCCGCCCTGTGCACTGGGATGGCAGGTGGAGGCACCTACTTGTAGACGGCACTGTCCTTCTTGGGGCTGTGCTGCGGCAGGAGGCTGTGGGAGTACTGGTGCACGCCCAGGTCGTACAGCGAGGGGAAGTCCTTGCCACAGAGGTGACAGCGGTAGCTGAGCTCCTCCTGGTGGCTCTTGATGTGTTCCAGAAACGCGTCAAGCTTGGGGAACGTCTGGGCGCAGCTTTTGACCACACACTTGTATACCTTGAGGGGAGACTCGGGAATGAGGGGAGGCGGCTGGGGGGGGCGGTAGGAATCTGTGACACCAGCCTGGGGCACTGCTGGTGGGCACCTGACCACGTTGCCCCGCTCCCTACTGCCGGAGCCCTGGTTTGCTTTGCTTAGTTTTGCTTGATTTGATTTGATTGATTTTGTGGCATTGAGGGCTGAACCCAGCTGCCCTACCACCGAGCTACACCCGTGGCCCTTTTTATTTTTTGAGACAGGGTCTTGCTAAGTTGCCCAGGCTGGCCTTGAACTATGATCCATCCTCTCACCTCAGCCTCCGGGGAACTGAGATCACAGCGTGCACCACTGTGCCCAGCTTGTATATGGATGTTCTTTTGAACCGACTTTAATAAGTAAAATTCTGACTTATATCCAGGGTCTCATCTGTAGAAAAGGTATGTTTCTAGCATTTTGAAAACTATATTTTGATAAGTATATTGTGGGGTGCCCACATAATATCACACACTCTTTCTTTCCAACAAAATGAACCCCAATTTACTCAGGGTAACAACATACCTACTTCAAACACTGGATTCCCCTGGCTTCCGTGAATCTAGTGTCAGCCTCGTGACTCCTTTTTGACAATGATATGTAGGCAGCAGTCTTTCAGGATGGCACCCCTCCCAGAATGAAAAGGTAAAAGTTTCCTAAGAGAAATCCCCTCTACCTTTTGCATTTGTCCTGACTGGAATATAGATGTGATGAACAGAGATATAGTAGCTATTTTGTCACCTTGAGAAAGTACGCTACCAGCTAAGGTAGAAGAGAAGAAAGCTAGGAGCTGGAAGAATCCTGGTCCATGATACCATGTTTGAATTGCTATGCAAGCCCAGCTCTACCTACGTATGGGCTTCTGATGTGAGGGAAATTAAACTCTTAATATTAATCCAATTTCCTCTTATTTGCGGCATAGTAACACATTTCTCAATGACAGAGCACAGGCACTGGCTCTGGATAATCAGAGATCTACAGAATGCCTCTAGGAAAGGTTTCCTTGCTGCTCTCAAGGTTTCCATGGTTGGGGACATAGCTCAGTGGCAGACTGCTTGCCTAGCAAGCCCGAGGCCCTGAGTTCAACCCCCAGCACAGCAAAAAATAAGTAAAATTCAATGAAAGAAAAAAAAGGTTTCCATTGTTTCCAAATAATATGATTGAATTGCTGCCTAGGAAGAGTGGCCACCATCCAGCAAGGCAAGGAGAGCCACGGCAGAGGACAATGGTGGCAACCAGAGGAGGAAATTGGTTGAGTCACCTGTCACCCTATCTCAGGCCTCTTGTGCCACAGATGACAGACTTCTCAACTGTTTAAGGTCTCTGTGATTTGCCCTAGGGTGACCGGACTTACTCCACCAACACCCCTAAGAATCTCCCCTAAGGAAAGAGAAGGGATGGGACCAAGCTGCAGAAAACATTGTGACTGCGTCCTGTCCCCTCAGGACAGCATTCAAGACCCCAGCACTGGCCAAGGCTCCTGATGACGGCCGTGGCCACTGCCGCCCGCCACAGGCCTACCTGCTGGTTCTTGTGCTGCGTCATGTGGGACTTGAGCTGGAAATAGGTGCTGAACGTGCTGGGGCAGAACTGGCACAGGTAGGAGCTGTCGATGAGGACCACCTGCCCGGGCCCCAGCTTGTCCCCCTCTGCCTCACCAACAGCAGGCAAGGCCTGGGGCTGCGGGGGCGCACTCGACAGGCTCTGGCCCAGCCCTGTGGAGGAAGCCAGGGGAGGAAGTCAACGAGAAGCCGATTAAGGCTCCAACCAGGAGCCACACATTCAGGTGGGACTCAGAACACCTACTGCACACTCCTCCGGGTTTCCCCTGCCGACTGCCACGCGCCTGGTGTGGCACAATATCCTCAGGTCCACAGTCACAGCCAGCGGGTGTGCACCAGCACGGCCAGGCTGGAGGCGCACAAGCAAGGCCTCAGGCGGACCTCCTGGCCTTGGCCTCCCCTCCTGGCCTTGGCCTCCCCTCCTGGCCTTGGCCTCCCCTCCTGGCCTTCACCTGGGACACCGCCCACGTCTCTGTGCTCTGTGAACACCCTGCACACGCTCCTCGCTCACTCCTGCCTCTCCAGGCCCTTGTTCCCATTACAATCATTGCTTCATTGACTTTCTTCACTAGACTGCTCCTCACTCCCCTGCACCTCTGACCTCATCTCTGTGTGACCTGATGCACAGTAGGCTCCATAAAAATTTGCTCAGTGGTGGAACCTTTGGTGCTAGGCACTGTCAGGGTTGCGAAAGCACTGGGAGAAGGGTTCCTTCTCTACGGAGCTCACAGAACTCAGGGCATGTTCCAACAGGAAGCCCCGATGGCCAATCGGACAAAAGTGGCCACACACTGTCACCCAGCAAAAGTCCCCGTTCAGCAGCTGTCATGTGGTTGGCATTGCTCACCCTCGGTGCTATGTGGAAAGGACTTTGGCTCTGCTCTCCACTGTCCAACACAGTGACTGTGAGTCACACATGACAACTGAGAACTTGAAGTGTGGCCAGTCCAAATCCACATGTGCTATCTATGTAAATACACACGGCTATGGAGACTGAGCAAATTTTATTATGTGCATTTATAAACATGGCATAATGAATCCCACTATCATGTATGATTATAAAGTACCAATAATTTTTTTTTTTTTTTTTTTTTTGCAGCAGGGATTGAACCCAGGGTTGTTTAACCACTGAGCCCCGTCCCCAGGCCTTTTTATATTTTATTTAGAGACAGGGTCTCGCTGAATTGCTTAGGACCTTTCTAAGTTGCTGAGGCTGACTTTGAACTTGTGATCCTCCTGCTTCAGCCTCCGAGCCACTGGGATAATAGACATGCACCACCACGCCCAGCAGTAAAATTTTTTTTAAAAAGTAAATACACATTGGATTTCAAAAATTTAGTATAAGAAGCATATAAAGCATTTCAATATGGCTGAGAGCACAGCTAGGTGGTAGAGCACTTGCCCAGAGAGCATAAGGCTCCGAGTTCAATTCTCAGCCCCTCAAAAAGAAAACAAAACAAAATTAAAAAAAAAAAAATCACACCTCAATAATTTCTTTATGTTACATGTTAAAATAATAATATATTGGACTAAATAAAGTATATGATTAAAATTAATTTTGTGTTTTCTAAAGTGATTTTAATGTAGCTACTAGAGAAGCTTTAACTCTATGTGGTGCTCACGTTATACTTCTGTTAGACAGCGTCACTCCAACCCTAGTGAGTCCCCAGTCCCTCTGCACAAAAGAAATAAATCAATACTAGGGACAGAAGCATTAGCTCTGGAACAAGTGACAGCTTCAATGAATGAGAACCCAATAACATACACAGAGCTCTGGAGACCAACTGTCCCCAGGTTTCAACTCCTAATCAACCGGAGTCACTGCCTGGAATAATATACTCGAAATGAATTGTGAGGTGGGATTCGGGCTCAATGAAAAAAGAGACAGGTAGTTAATTAGGGATGTCTGCCCGGGGTACAGTGCTAAGGTGATGCCTCACATATGTGCATCTGTCATCTTTCCTTTCACCCTATGCCCTCTTTTATAAAGTAGACTGAAGCCCAGAGAGGTCGGGAAGTTTGCTCAAGGTCACACAGCTGGCAACAGAAACCTAAAAGCTGCAGGAGCGATGAACTGGGAGAGTGGCTTTCCTCACATCCACCCACCTGTATTCTCCTCTTCCTCTTGCCTGCTGGGGTCTAAGGCCATGACTTGGACAGTCACTGAGTTGCGAGAAACAGTGCCACCACTGCGCCCTGGAGGCCACACCTTATGGGTCTGCATGTGTTTCTTGACGTTGGACTTCTGAGCGAAGGCACGGCCACACGCAATGCACTGGAAGGGCTTCTCACCGGTGTGGCTGGGGAAAGAAGGCCGGTTAGCTCGCCTGTGTAGGAATGGGGACCCAGCCTCTGCCCAGGAGCTCCCAGCCGCAGGAAGGCTCACGGAGCAGGCCCAGATGATGTGGCCACTCTGACCCCCTGTGGGTACATCCTCTGGCTGAGGAAGGCAGACGAGGGGTGGAAAGACCCTGAGCTCTGGATCCCGTTACTGAGCTGCTGAATCAACAACGCTAGAGCTGACCTGCTCCAAGGCTATCTAATATCTAATACCGTGACAGCAAACGTTTCTTAATTGCTCCAGCCCATTCAATGGGGATTTCTGTTATTTGAAGAAAACATCATAGCTGCCAAAGCACAACACCTCTACCTCTTTTTTATCAAGTTGGGCGTGGTGGCACATGCCTGAAACCCAGCGGCTCCAGAGGCTAAGGCAGGAGGATCACGAGTTCAGAGTCAACCTCAGTAACTTAGCAAGGTCCTAAGTAACTCAGTGAGACCTTGTCTCTGAATAAAGTACAAAAAAGGGCTTGGGACCTGGTTCAGTGGTTAGCAACACTGGGTTCAATCCCCAGCACCAAAAAAAAAAAGAAAAAGAAAAAGACACTTTTTATCAAGTCAATTCATTTTTTTTTTTTTTTTGGTTGTCAATGGACCTTCATTTATTTATATGTGGTGCTGAGAATTGAACCCAGTGTCTCACACATGCTAGGCAAGCGCTCTGCCACTGAGTTAGGACCCCAGCCACAAATCAACTCACTTTTTAAAAAATTATAGCAATTCTGAAATGAAGAGTCCTATTGTTACTGGATATGAAAAACTACTCGTCATAAATACCAAGTAATCAAAATTGCAATAATTCTAAAATAATGTCAATATCCAGAGATGCACTGTTCAATAAGATGGATACCAGTCACATAAGGCTATTTACATTTAAATTCGTTAAAATAAAATTTTTTCAGTTCAGTTTCTCAGCTGTTCTAGACACACTGCAAGAATTCAACAGCTATATACGGCTAGGAGCTACCCACAGTGGACAGCACCAGTTGGCATTTACATCACCACAGAAAAATCTACTGGAGAACAGCAGCATAGACCGGTCATACTCAACAGAGGATGACCTTGCCCTCCAGAAGAGACCTGGCAATGTATGGAGACATTTTTGGCTGTCAGAGCTGTGGGGTGGGCAGTCACTGGCATCTAATGGTTAGAAATCAAGCTTGCTGGGCTGAGGATGTGGCTCAAGCAGTAGTGCGCTCGCCTGGCATGCGTGCAGCCCGGGTTCGATCCTCAGCACCACATACAAACAAAGATGTTATGTCCGCCGAAAACTAAAAAATAAATATTAAAAAATTTCTCTCTCTCTCTCTCTCTCTCTCTAAAAAAAAAAAAAAGAAAAGAAATCAAGCCTGCTGCCAGGCATGCTGGTACATGCAAGCCAATGAGCCCAGCAGCTCAGGAGGCTGAGGCAGGAGGATCACAAGAACAAGGCCAGCCTCAGCAACTTAGTGAGGCCCTAAGCAACTTAATGAGACCCTGTATCAAAAAAATAAATAAAAAGGGCTGGGGATGTGGTCAGTGGTTAAGTGCCCCCAGTTTAAATCCCTGGTACCAAAAAAAAAAAAGACAACAATGAAGTCAAAGATGCTGCTAAACGGTCCACAAAGCACAGCTCGGCCACCAGGAAAGAATGAGTGACTCCAAATCCCTAAAGGCAACAGAAACATGGTCTGGAAAGAAGTCGTCCCTGCCACGGTTGGAATCTGAAGCAGCCTCTCCTCCCCGGCCTGAGAAGAGCAGGTATGTGTGAGTATCAGACAGTCTAGCACCAAAGAGAGGGTTGCTGTCGATTCTCCAAGAGCTGAAACTGCAAGGGGAATAATCTCATCACATCTTTAGATTTTTTTTTTTTTTGGTACCGGGGATTGAACTCCAAGGAAGTTTTGCCCCTAAGCTACAGTGGCCAAAATTTTTTTTATTTTTTTACTTTGAGACAGGGTCTTGCTCAGTTGCTGGGGATCACACTAAATTGCTAAGGCTGGCCTTGAACTTGCCATTCTTCTGCCTCGGCCTCCCGAGGTGCTGGGATTACAGGCACGTGCTACTGTGCCTGGCTAGAACTTTTCAACACTGTGTCTATAAAACACCTAAATCACCTCACGGATCAACATATGTCACTGTTATAGTTTGGAGATGTGGTATCCCCAAAAGCTCATGTGTGAGGCAATGTAAGAAAGTGCAGAGGTGAAATAACTGGGTCAGGAGACCTTAACCCAATCAATGCATTAAACCACTTGAGTGATCAGCTGGGCGCTGACTGAAGGCAGGCAGGGTGTGGCTGGGGGACGGAGGTCACGGAGGGCCTGCCTTTGGGGTCTCCATGCTGCTCCTGGTGACCAGTGCTCTCTCTGCTTCCTGGTGCCATGTCCTGAGCTGCCTTCCTCCTCCACGCCCTTCTGCTAGGACGTTCTGCACCTCAGGGCTCGGAGCAGGGGCGTCAGCCACCTATGGGCTGAGACCTCTGGAACCCCGATCCCCAGTGAGGTCCCTCCTCTACAGTAGGTCCCATCAGGCCTTGTGGTCACAGTGGCAAAGAAGCTGCCGACGACCCCCAGGTCTGCGGAGCTCTCGACACCCCTCCACTCACACGCGGAAGACGGGCCTAGACAGGCGGGCACGCTCTTAGGACAAGAGGCCCAGTTCAGCCGAGTGGCCCAGGCAGCACAGGTGGCCTGGCAGCTCCCCCGGGCAGCGCAGGACTGAGGTGCCTCACGCAGGCGCAGAGCCCCTCTTGCTCAAGCACATCGCCCGCACCCTCTACCCACCCTGATGGTCCTCTTGCACTGCGCCCCGGCCTGGGCTGCGCCCTGCACACCGTGACAGTGCAGAGGGCCGGCCGAAGTGACCCCAGCCTCAGAGGGAGGAGGGGCTCGCCCACCTACCTTCGGATGTGCTGCTGCAGGTCGAAGTTTTTGGTGAAGGACTTGTCGCAGTAGGAGCACTTGAGCTGCTGAGCCTTGGGCTTCCCTGCAGCTGAAAGACAGTGCCAGGAGGGGCTGGTGAGACTGGGGCACCGCTGAGGGGACCACCCCATCCCCCGGACCTGCGGCCACACAGCCCACACCCAGGAAGACCACGTCCATGCACAGGCAGGGCGAGAGGCATGGGGGCTCCTCCCAGTGCCCCGGGAAACCAGCGCGTGCTCTGGCTGGAAAGCAGGACGGCACCCTCAAAGGCTCCCCTCGCCCCGGGGTAAAATCCCACCTTTCCTATGGCCTCCAGCACCCGCACCCTCTGATTCTCCTCAACCTCTCAGCCCTCCACCCAGCTGCAGTGGACTCCTTACTAACCTTGAAAGACCTCAAGCAAGGTCCCATCTCTGGACCTATGCACCCGCAGGTCCCCTTGCACAGATACCCACAAGGCTGCTTCCTTTCCCTCCCCAGATGAACAGGTGGCATCATTTGGGCCCGGGCACTGGGGATTGAACTCAGGGGCGCTTAACCACTGAGCTACATTCCCAGCTTTTTTTCATTGTTTATGTGGAGACAGGGTCTGGCTGAGCTGCTTAGAGCCTCACTGAATTGCTGAGGCTAGCCTTGCCCTTGAGATCCTCCTGCTCAGCCTCCCCAGACTCTTGGGATTATAGATGTGCGCCACCACGCCCAGCCAGACCGCAGCACTTCCCAGCCTCTCCCCAGCACCTGAATCACAGAACCCTGCTAATCTCCTTCCTAGAGTGACTCCCAGATATTTATTTCCTGTCTCGCTCTCCCAGTAAGCTCTGAGTAACTGAGGGCAAAGGCATCGTGGACCAAGATATGAGACCCCCAGTGCCCGACGTGGAGCCTGGTGCTCGCAGGTCAACACATATTTGTGGAAGGAAAGAAAAGGAAAAATGGTTGACTGGAAAGCCTCTGGGAAATTCTCAGTATCTTTCCCTCCTTCTACCTCCTGCTTCTGACACTGTCACCCACCCCATACTCAGCACCTCCAAAATGGTAATAGACACTACTACTTGTCTAACAGCCATTCTCTCCTTCTTCCCTCAAAAATTCCCTTACATAATGGGAACATCAGTGCTCCTAGCTAAAGCAGACATTTCCCAGCTTCCTTTCCAGCTAGGTATGGCCATGTGACTAAGTTCTCACCAATTAGATGTAAGCAAAAGTCTCATACAGAACTTCTGGAAGCTGGGAGGTACCCCTTTTACCCTTCCTTTCTTCCTCCTTCTTACTGCCTGGAATATGAAATTGATGACTGGAGCTCCAGCAGCCATTTTAGATGATGAGGCACCCTGATAAATGAAGCCATGCTCTGGGGATAGAGGAACAGAAAGACAGAAGATACATGGGTGCCTGGTGACCACGTCACATTATCCCCAGATTGCCTGCTTCTGGTCTTGTTCTACCCAAGACAGAAAAGAAATTCTATCACTTTTTAAGTCACTTGTTTTAGATTTTTCTATTACATGCAACCAAAATTAATCCTAACCATTACAAAAGGGAAGACCAGAACCAAACAGCCTGCGGATAGGCTAATGCCAAGGGAAGATGCTCATGGCAGGCTGGGGGCCCACCTTCCGGGAGTCCACTGGCACCTTTAGCCCGTCTGGTCTTCAGTGTTGGTGGGGAGTCAAAGGTGGCCACTGTGCCCCCAGTGGCGCTGGTCATAGGGACAGCAGGGTTTGGTCCTTTCGGTTTGAATCCCTGTTTGCCAGGGCTGTACACCGGAGGTGTGGGGTACACTGGAGCTTCCACACACTGATTTGGCACCTAGAAAGACAGCACGTCAGGGAAAGAGCCTGGGGCAGGAGAAGAGCCCCCAGCCTCACCACCAGCCTCAATGGGGTTCAGGCACCTGTCACTCCAAGACCCCCGGGATCTTCAAAAGCCCTGCCTGGGATCAAATCCGGGCTCTGCCACTTACTATTAAAGTGGCCCCTGGTTTTAATCTCTCTGCCTCAGTTTCCTCCTCTGTGAAATGGGGCTCATCACAGCTCCCTCTCATGGGGTTGTTGTGAGAATTTAAAAAGGAACAATTAAGAGCTTAGAGCAGAAGTTGGCACTGATAAACATGAGCTGTCATTAATGCTATTATAACTCCTTTTTTTTTTTTTTCCTTTTCAGGGCTGGGGATTGAACCCAGTGGGGGCACTTTACCACTGAGCCACATCTCCAGTTATTTTTTTTTTCATTTTTTATGTTCTATTTTGAGAGAGGGCCTTGTTAAGTTGCTAAGGCTAGCTTCAAACTTGCAATCCTCCTGCCTCAGCCTCCTGAGCCACCAGGATTATAGAAGTGTGCCACCACACCCAGCTATTATTGCTCTTGGTGATAGTTTTAGCACAGGAAGCCCAAAGGGCCTGTGTCCTCACAGCTAACTAACACCACCAGATGCTGCAGTAACAGCCTCCTGTCAACTGGGAGCCGATGCTGATGCCACAGAAAGCTGCTGAATGAATTCTGAGTCATTCACAAAACTGAGTTAACTAAGCCGGGATCATGACTGGCACATTGTGAAGAACTCGTTTGCATATCATTCATGGGTCTTTCTGGGATATTCTACCCAAAATGACACTTCCTATCCCTCTCTGCTTTATTTTTCTCCTTATACTTACTATTATCTGAAATTCTGAGCCAGGAATGGTGGCACATGCCTGTAGTCCCAGCAACTTGGGAGGTTGAGGCAGGAGGATTGCAAGGTTGAGGCCTGTTTCAGCCACTTAGCAAGGCCCTAAGCAATTTAGCAAGATATTGTCTCAAAAATACAAAATAAAGGGCTGGGGTTGGGGCTCAGTGGCAGAACACTTGCCTAGCATGTGTGAGGCACTGGGTTTGATCCCCAGCACCACATAAAAATAAATAAATAAACAACATAAACGTATTGTGGCCATCTACAATTAAAAATATTTTACAAAAAAATTAAAAAATAAAAAATAAAAAAGGCTGGGGATGAGGCTCAGTGGTAAAGTGCCCTGGGTTCAATCAATTAAAATCAGACATTTTTCCTGTTTGTCCGGCTTCATTCCACAGGGCAGGGAGTTCTGCTCCCTACTCCAGGCCCAGGCTCAGAGCCATGCTTGGCTCGAGCAGGGGTTTGATAACGGTCTGCTGAACGAGCGCCCTCCCTAAAGTGCTCAGGGGGCACCCGACAGGGCCCAGGCTCAGCCCGGAAATGCACCTCCCTGGAGAGCAAGGTTTTGAACTTAAGACGAGGTTCTGCCCAGCAGCAGCTTCTGCATGAGATCTGGATGCACAGTGGGGCAGAGAGTGCCTTGTCCAGCAGCCACGTGGGAGAGGGCGAGCTGTGCAAGTCACAAGCAAAGGAGCCGCTGATCCCGCTCAACGTGCCCCTCCTGCTCCCCAGGCCCCATGCCCCAGGCCTCGGGCAGCAGCAGACTCCACGCCCCACGGGCCCCTGGCATCAGGGCGCAGCAGCCACACCCTGGCTCCCTGGGCTGAGCTCTGACAGCGGGCCTGAAAACCAGTGGCGCTTCTGCAGCCCTTCCTCCAGCGCTGAAGACACCTACCTTCTGTATTAAATCCCTCTGCCAGAAACGCACAGTGTGGTATGCACTTCCCTGATCGACCCTGACCAGGACTGCACTCAATCAATATCTGTCCCAGGCACGAATTCACCTATCACTCAAGGCCTTCCTGAGCAATCAGGTGATCACCACTGGTCATGACACACTGACTGTGCCGTGGCCCCGACTCTTCCCTCCCTGGACCCACACCTGTGCTGGACCTTTGCAGGATGACTCTACAGCTCTTCCCACTGAGAAGCGGCATCAGGTCGGTCCCCTGAATCTAGGCTGGCCTCATAGCCTACTGTGGCTGGGAGAAATGACTCGTGTCCTTACAGGTCTAAGCTTAGAGTGGCCTCAAGCATTTCTGTGTATTTGCCTCCACCACGGCCAGGAGAACCCGCAGGGGGATGAGAGCCACAAAGAGCAGAGCTGAGTCTCATCCTTGTCGCAGTCCAGGCCATCCCAGGGCAGCTGACACCCAGCCAAGGTCAGCAGAGGTGCCTGGCTGACTGGTGTGAGCACTTGGACCTAAACACTGAGGTCCTGGGGGGTTCTTACACAGCAATAGATAATTGATTCATCTCGCTTGTAAAAGAACGAGACAGTTATGCTGATAATTTGGGGGGATCTTCTCCCCAAAGGCAAGTATCCTGACCGTTCTAACTGCCCCTGAGCAGGGCTAGTGTTTCTGCTTCGACCTCTACTTCATCCCACCTCCCCAGTCGCGTTTTCCATCGGTGGCTGTGATGCTTCTATCGAGGTCCCACTTTCTCCCACGATGCATCTCCCATGAGGGCCGGGGGGGGGTCTGGTTCAGTATCCCACGGTACCACAGCCCTAGCACAGAGCCTGGCACACAGATGGTGCTCAGGAAAGACCTTGGCCATGCCCAGCTCCCCGCACCCCTCCCTGCCCTGGCTCACCTCCAGTGGAGGGTAGGGCTGCATCCCCAGGGCCTGGATCTCCACCGTCCCACTCCCAGCCATGGGCGCAGCAGCACTGTACACCTCCACCACGCCACTGCCACCAGGGTTGGGACGCCCGGGGGGGCCCAGGCTCTGGGGTGGGGGTGGCGGGGGTTGTGGGGGTGGAGGTGGCGGCAGAGGTGGTGGGGGTGGAGGAGGTGGCGGAGGCTGAGTGAGGTAGCTGGGCACAGAATGCATGTTCAGGCTGCTCTGAAATCAGAAGCAAAGCAAAGCAAAGCATTAGAGCTGCTGGCTGCCACCAGCATCGACGAGGAAGACTGTGTACCTGCGCCTCCTCAGGGGACGGGAACGACTCACAGGGACCTCAGAGGGGACAGGGAAACAAAGTCCCAGAAGAATTCTGAGGGGGCATCAGCCTGGAGCCGCTATTCTTTTTTCTAAGAACATCAGCAAAACCGACCAGCATGTTGCCATCTTAAGGAGGCCTGTTTACAGGGCTGGCTCTGACGGGCACCTGAGAACGCAGCTTTGGGACACTCCTGGCTGATACAGCTGCTCTGCCCGCCAGCGGCACAGACCACACTGTGCCAGTACCAGCTCATCTAGACGCTTTGTACCAACAGTGTGGTTTACTGGGAGCATCTCCGCCCTTCCTGGGAGTCTGGAATTGGTGTCACGGTGGCCGGTCGCCTATGGGTATTAGAAAAATCCCAAGGAGCCCCGGTGTATCTTCTAATATTTGGGGGCGGGAGGATTTAACTCAGGGACCCTTTATGATTAAGCTACATCTGCAGAGACTTGAACTTGTGATCTCCTGCCTCACCCTCCCAAATCACTGGGATTATAGCACACCCAGCTGACAAGGGACACTTTTAAAAAACAAAAGCAGGAGTCTAAACTGTGGCGGTTCCCTCACGGCAGTGAGGCTGGCCGCGGGAGGCTGACAGGCCCCCTCAGCATGGAGAAGGCCGGCCCAAGCCCCCTTTTTCCTACAAGGTACTGAACACAGGCCTGGAGACAAGACCCAGTGAGACTTGCTTAGCTTGTGTAAGGTCTCCAGTTTGATCCTCAAGACTACAAATAAACACAAAGAACAAAGCAAGAAAAAGACCCTGTGAGAAGCCCGCGGTCTCCTTACCTGCACAGGCGGGGGCCCCTGGGGCATGGGCTGGTCCAGGGACGTGAAGGCTGACATGGCGGACATGAGCACGTCATCGCTCACCAAGATGTTGCCCTGCACCAGGGTCTGGATCAGTGGGGACGGGGGCACTGTGATGTACGTGGAGATCTGAGCAGCAAGAGAGACAGACAGACAGGAGGGATGTGTGAACACGTCTGAGGCTCTGCAGGGAAGCTGAGGGAAAGATCCAAGTTCCCGAGTCCCACAGACCCGACCGTGTGACCCTGGCCCTCCTCCTCTCCGCTCAGTCCTCCCCAAAGCAGAATAACTGACACCTCTCTGCAAAGTACAAGCCTCTGATCCAGCAATAACACTTCCGGTTTCTAGACCAGGGAACCGCTCACACACTGCACAGGGAGCCCAGATGAGAGGCTCCCACGAGCCTTGATTCTTTACCACGGAGCCACACCCCTGGCCCTTTTTCTTTTTTGAGACTGGGTCTTGCCAAGTTGCTGAGGCTGGCTTTGAACTTGCTAACCCCTGCTTCAGCCTCCCCAGTCACTGGGATGACAGTGTATGCCACTGGGCTGGCCACACAGCCTTGTTTCCAACAGTGGAAAACTAAATAATGTCCACCAATGGGGGAATGACCACAGGGCTGGGGCTGGAGCACTTGCCTAGCATACGTGAGGCACTGGGTTCGATCCTCAGCACTACATAAAAAGAAATAAATAAAATAAAGGTATAAAAATTTTTTAAAAAATAACATCATATTCCTGGAATAGAATACTGTATGGCATAATACGAAGATTATGTGTTCTTATTAAAAAAAATCTAAAACAATAGCATATGATTCCTTAGTTACTTAAATAAAATATTTGAATGTACCTTAGATCATGAAGGATATCTGCCAACAGCTACCTGAGGGCAGGGGAGAGGAGCAGCACCAAACGAGTCTTGATTTGTAACCTTCTAACTTTCAAAAGGTACAAGGGGGCTGGGGCTGTAGCTCAGTGGCAGAGCACTTGCCTCACTCGTGTGGGGCACTGGGTTTGATCCTCAGCACCACACAAAAATTAATTAATAGACAAAGATATTGTGTCCATCTACAACTAAAAAATACTTTAAAAATAGAAAGTAGGAGGCAAGGTCTATATTACCAGCAAAGGTACAAATCAATAAAAATTAAAATATCATGCTTACAATAGTGAGGGAGACAGGCAGATCTTACAAGAAAGCATCAGACTGGCTGGGTGCGGTGGCACATGCCTGTAATCCCAGCAGCTTGGGAGGCTGAAGCAGGAGGATCGCAAGTTCAAAGGCAACTTCAGCAACTTAGTGAGGCCCTAAGCAGCTTAGTGAGACCCTGTCTCTAAATAAAATACAAAAAAGGGCTGGGGATATGGCTCAGTGGTTAAGTACTGGGTTCAATTCCTGGTACCAAAATAATAATAATAATAAATTTTTAAAAGTAAATAAATAAAATAAAAAATGTTGTTGATAGAGCACTTGCCAAGCATGTGTGAGGCACTGGGTTCGATCCTCAGCACCACATATAAATAAATGAATAAATTAAAAGATCTATCAATATGTAAAAATATAGAGGATGTAGCTCAATGGTAAAAACCCCTGAGTTCAATCTCCAATACTAAAAACAAACAACAAAAACAGAAAGAAAGAATTTTTCCTTCTCTTTTTTTGTTGGAAAAAAAAAGTAGGGGAGGGGAATATTTTCTTCTAGTAAAACTCATAATCGAGGAGTTAGAGAAATGACTGTGTCCTATGCTAGGAGATCCTGTGGCAATTTGAAAAGTTTCAGTCTGCATGTCCCAGTGGGCTGGGGGTGAATGCTCTTTCTGATGGCAGAACTGTGTCCATATAATTTTTGAGAGATTCTAAAAGAGTAAGGAGAGAGGAGGAAGCCACAGGGAAATTCAGCTCCTTGACTCTTCCTGAGACACGCCCAGCCTCCTTCATAAGGGATCCTTTAACCCAGGCCCCCACCAGGATGTCCTTGCTCTAGAACCATGTTCCAGCCTGCCCGCCTTCTGACCTCGGCCTTGGGGTCTGCACAGTCTACACTGCCTCCCTCTACAGCTCCCAGAGCTCGTCCAGATGAACTCCTAATACCCTGCTAAAATATTCTCCTGGTAGCTTTCCCACTTTGGACGATGCAACTCCAACTCAAGTCACCCTTGACTCCTCTTTATGTCTCTTTATGTCACACTCCTCACTAAACTGGCCTACACACCCTTTTGTTAACACCTTCAAAATATTTCCCAAGTCTCCTTCTCACCCCGTCCTCAGGCACCACCTTAGTCCAGCCGCGCCGCCCACTGCCTGGAACTAACTGCTGTCACGGCTGCCTCCTGCTCTCCTACCTGTCAGAATCTAATCTCTCGATAGCAGCTGGAGAGACCTGGTTAGAGCATAAGTCAGACTACACCCCTCTGCTGCTCAAAGCTTTCTGGCACTTCCCATCTCACTCCAGGTGAAGCCCACAAGGCCGACCCACCTGCCAGGCCCCTCTTGCGGCCCCTGTCACCCTCCGTCTTCCTCACTCTCCCAGCCGCTGTCCCTTCCTTGTACCTGGAATGACCTGGCACACTCTGCCTCAGATTTTTGTACCTGCTGATCCCTTCACCTGGAACACTCTTCCCCTCACCTCCTTGGGTCTCTGCTCACATGTCACCTTTCCACAGAGTCCTTCCCCAGGTACCACTCTGCCTTGGCGTCCCCTAGCTCCACACTCAACACAGGAAGTACAGCTTCACGTATTTGTTTGCATACTACCCGTGTCACTCAGCTCCACAAGAGCAGTGACCTGATCTGTTTTATCCACTGATGTACCTCCTGGGCCCAGCAGTGCCCGACACACAGTAGGTGCTTGGAAAGATCTGCTGGGACAGATGTGGTGGCACACACCTGTCATCCCAGCTCAACTCAGGCAGCTTGGCAAGTTCAGCCTGGGCGACAGCAAGACCTAGCTTAAAAAAAAAAAAAGCTGGGAGGATAAATGAGTGAATGAATACCTGGCGATTGGCGGGAGGCGGGGCCTGCTGGACTGTGGCAGGTGCTGCTGGAGGCGTGTAGATGCTGTTTGTGGCCAGCGAGACAGTGGCCAGGGCAGGTGCGTTCCCCTGGCACTGTTCTCGCTTGTGGGTCATAAAGGCTGGCAGCGAATTGAACTGCTTCTTGCACTTTCCGCAGAGAAAGACATCCTCATCATCTAAGGGTCATACCCAGATGCAGGAAGGGACCATAGAGGGATTGAGTAATGGGGGAAAAAAAAGCAAGATTAAGTCAGGGGCATCATGGTGAAGAGTGGGAGACCACAGAACAGAGAGAACAGCAATTCTGGACAGCATTCGCGATTTGTTGAGTATGTCGAACATCAACCGGGAGCTTCCTGGGAGCTACACAGGCTCCTGTGGGAAGAGCCAGCCATGTGCAGCTAGGTAGCAAACCATTAGACACCAGGAAATAATAGAATGGGTTCAGTTCAAAGTTGATAATTTCAGTTTTTTTTTTTTCTTTTTTGGTACCAGGGATTCAATACAGGAGTGCTTAAGCACTGAGCCACATCCCCAGCCCTTTTTTGTATTTTATTTAGAGACAGGGTCTCACTGAGTTGCTTAGGGCCTCACTCAATTGCGGAGGCTAGCTTTGAACTCACGATCCTCCTGCCTCAGCTTCCCAAACCCCTGAGATTACAGGCTTGTGCCACTTCACCCAGCTAGGAATCTTTATCCTGCCTGAATTTATTCCTCTGTCTCCAAATGGACCAGGTGAGCACACTGCCCGCTGCTGAGCTGCTTCTCTTAGAACAACTCATTCTGCAAGGCTCACCTCCTTCAGGAAGGCTTCCCAAAGCCCTTGGCCAGAGTTCCTTCCTTTGGGTTCACCTCTCATATATTAGCTTTCTCATCATCACCAAACGATGAGTCCCCTAAGGGAAAGAAATGTGTCTTCTTTATCACCACAGCTGGGAAATCTTCTGGACACTTAGGAGGTCCTCAATGGATGTTTGCTGAATAAATGAAAAGTTAATTGAGCCAGGCATGGTGACACATAATAATCCCAGCAGCTCAGATCACAGATTCAAAGCCAGCCTCAGTAACTTAGCAAGGCTATAAGGAACTCTGTGGGACCCTGTCTCCAAATAAAAAAATAAAACAGGCTGGGATGTGGCTTAGTGGTTAAGTGTCCCTGGGTTCAATCTCCACTACAAAGGAAGGAAGGGAGGGAGGGAGGAAGGAAGGAAGGAAGGAAAAAATTAGTGGGAAACATGGGCTTCCTAGTTAAAGGTGTAAGTGAGTGACAGACTTCCCAGCCTGCCTTGTAGCAGCATGTCATGTGACTGAATTCTGACCAACAGAATGACAGCAGAATGTAGGGTATGTGCAACTTCCCCTTAAAAGGAAAAGGCTTGATTTCCACTTCTTTCTTTCTTCCCTTTGTGTTGGCCGGGAGGTGGCAACCACAGTAGGAGATGGGTGGGGCGGCCACCCTGGACTGCACGTGAGGACAACAGATCCACAGAAAGAAATCACCAGACTCACCTCAAATGCCCACCAGGGCTTCACCCAACAGAGAGATAAAGTTAATCTTCTAAAAACCATAAGAAACTTTCCTTTCTCATCTACAACAGTTGAAACCAAGTCCCGAGTACTCTCATAAGGTTCCTATGAAACAGGACAATTATCCTCATTTAACAGACATGGAAACCGACGCATAGGGAGGTTGATTCACTTGGCCAGGGCCACAGAGCCAGGGACTATGGACACAAAATTCAAACCAGGTTTTTATCCTTTTGTCCCGAGAGTGCTTCCTAAGTGCTTAAGAATGTTTGTGGAAGAAATAAATGAACATGCAGTCTCACATAAGGACTTGCAACAGAGTTTTGCCCTGTGTCTTAGGGACTTGGTCTTTAAATTGAAGACATTCATGTTCAGCCTATTGTTTCTGGAGAGTTGAGAAACAACTTCCAGAGAAAATGAAAAGCATTGCCCAGCATCGGGCTCCCACAGCCACTAAGTAAGTGAGAGAGCGTCCTTAGAGCTACGCAGAGAAGGCCTGAATAAACCTGAAGGTCCAGGCTGGGCGGGTGGGAGACAGGGTTCAGATTCCCAGGGATATCCTGGGGACCCAGTGACAGTTTACTCCCACGCCCCCACAGGAGCTCTACGTGCTCTTCCTAAGCTCGGAGCCACTGACTCTCCACTGGTGGGTAGAGCAGATACTCACCCAATGGCTGGATGGCAGGGGGCGCACTGACATTCTGGCCTGTTGGATCAGGGACTGCTCCTTGGCCATCCAACAATGACTGGACGGCCAGAACAGTCTGATTGTCCATTCCTGAAAAAGACAACACGGGCTCTGAGGAAAGTGGGCCCAGACCTTGCTGTCTTCATCCTCCCGAGCCAGACCCACTGCAACACCAGGTAGAGACAGCTGGCAGCGCCCAGTAGATGTTCTCTCCTACTGCCCTGTAACAGATCCCAAGATTTGCTGGGCACGGTTGCACACATCTGTAATGCCAGCAGCTCAGGAGGCTGAGGCAAGAGGATTGAAAGTTCAAAGCCAGCCCCAGCAAAAGTGAGACGCTAAGCAACTCAGTGAGCCCCTGTCTCTAAAGAAAATACAAAATAGGGCTGGGGAGGTGGCTCAGCAGTTAAGCACCCTGGGTTTAATCCCTGGCACGAGAGAGAGAGAGAGAGAGAGAGAGAGAGAGAGAGATTTGGAAAGATTCTGGGCCTGTGAGAAGCCTGTACCTGCCATCCTCACACTGCAAACTGACTTCCGCTGGATTCTCCCATGAAACAAACAATGTTCCAGCCTCTTTCCGTCACTGCTAGTTTGGATTCCTCTCTTACTGATGGCTACCTCTAATCCTAAACCGTGGAGCCCCTCTGGAAATCTTTCTCACCCATGCCGCATATCTCAAAGTCTGTCTGCATCCGGGCACCCTGGCCTTCTTTGTTCCCATCTGTCTTCCCTTCACTATCAAGCATCTGCTGAAGGCTGTCCTGCTCTTCATCTACCTACCTTCCAATCCTCCTGCTCCAGAGGGACTTAAGCTTCCACCTACACCAAAGACCACCTGGCAGCATCCAGACATGCCATGGAACACTTCCTTCTTGGCTCCAGGTACCACCCTTCCAAGGTCTCCTCCTCCTTTCTGGGGACTTGCTGTAGTTTAGATACGGAATATCCCCCAAAGCCTCATGTGTTGAAGGCATGGTCCCCAATGCAGCAATAGTCAGAAGTGGGGCTTTGGGAAGTGATTGGATCATGAAGGTCTGATCTCATTAACAGACTAACCTCTGATGGGTTCATGCTTGAATGGACTACTGGAAAGGGGTGGAAACTAGGAGGTGGGGCCTGGTGGGAGGAAGTGCGTCCTTGGGGACATGCTCTGCAAAGAATACATTCTTGTCCCTGGCCCTCCCTGCCAAGATGTGGTGAGGCAGTGTTCTGCCTTATCACAGGCCCACAGCAATGGGGCCAGCTGACTAGGGACTGAAACCTCTGGAATCATGAGCCGAATTAATCTTTCACCCTTTAAGCTGTTTATCTCAGGCATTTCATCATAGTTATAAAAAGCCGTCTAGCACACACCTCCTTTCCTCTCCTGTCTGCTCCCTAAACATTGCTATTTCCAGAGGTTCCTTCTGTCTGGACTCTTTCCTATCCTGTCCCTGAGCGGGATGCAAAACTGTGTTTTAGAATCTGGGTACAAATCTGTACATGAATGTCCACAGAACTTTTACTCATGATTTTAAAAATCTGGAAACATTTCAGAAGACCCTCCAGTGGACAAATGGTTAAACTGGATCATCCATACCATGAAATATTCAGCAAGAGGAAAAAACTAGCCACGCAAAAGGGCACACATCTATTATCCCAGTGGCTCGAGAGGCTGAGGCAGGAGGATTGCAAGTTCAAAGCCAGCCTCAGCAAAAGTGAGGTGTTAGGCAACTCAGTGAGATCCTGTCTCTAAATAAAATACAAAATAGGGCTGAGGGTGTGGCTCAGTGGTCAAGTGCCCTGAATTCAACCCTCAGTTACCCCTCCCCAAAAAAGAAAAGGAACAACCTACTGATAGCCACAACAACTTGAATCAACCTTCAACTGAGATGTGTGAAAAAAAAGCAAGTCTCAAAGGTTATATATTCTACAATTCCATTAATAGGATGTTCTTTTGTGAGTGTGTGGGTGCTAGGGACTGAACCCAGGGCCTTGCACATGCTAGGCAAGTGCTCTGCCAGTGAGCTACCCCCCAGCCCTATAATATTCTTTAAATGACAAAACTTTAGAAACAGAGCAGATTAGCAGTTGCCAGGGGTCAAGGATGATGTGAATAGAAGAAGGATTTGTGATGTGGCTAGAAAAGGACAACACCTGGTAGTGACAGAACTGTTTTGTGTTGATTGACAGTGATATTCTCTAGTGTTACAAGATGTTACCACTGGGGGAGACTGGGTATAGGATATAGGGGATCATTCTATTATTTTTTAATTGGTGCATTATAATTTTAAATAATAGTGGGATTCAACTGGGTGTGGGGACACACACCAATAATCTCAGAGACTGTGGAGGCTGAGGGAAGATAGAAAGTTTCAGTCCAGCCTAAATAACTTAGCAAGACCCTATCTCAAAATAAAAAAAAAAAATACAGAAGGGCTGGGGATACAGCTCAGTGGTAGAGCATCCCTGGGTTCAATCCCCAGTACCACACACAGACAGAACAGAGCACCACTCCCAAAATGCCTCTTGGGTACCCCTTCATTCTTTCCTTACCTACTGCTCCCTCCTCCACTTTCTGGACTTTTAGCAAACCTAGCTACCAAGTTTGTCTCAGATCCACTCTTTCAATCCCCTCAGCTGTCCCCTGGCCGGGGCCACCATCAGTTCTCAGCTGACTCTGGGAAGAGTCCTCACTCACCTCCCAAGAGCCACTCTGGCCCCCTCCAGTCTGTTCCCGCAGAGGCCATGGTGAACTTTATAAAACATACATTAGCTTGTGCGGCTCCCCTGCTGAAAATCTTTTCTTAGCTCCACACTGATCCCAAGATAAAGTTCAGAAGCTTCATCAAACCAATGGAAGCCTCTTCTCTAGCTGCTCCCCTGCATGAGAAACCAGGGGAGAGCTTTGCAAATGCAATTCCCACCGCCTGGGTCATTCAGATGACCCTCTCCCCTGGATCTTCAGGCCTGCTGCCCTTCCCTCGCCCAGCAGGCATGGTGATGTCCTAGGGGCTGATTTCTCTTTTACTTATTCATTTATATTTTGGTGTTGGGAACTGAACCCAGAGCTTGTGCATGACCCTCCTCTACCACAAGCTCTAGTCCCAGCTGATTTCTCTTTTAATTTCTTCTTTATTCAATACACAAATTAATTCTTGTAATTATCATTCTAATAGTGCAGATGAAAGAGAAAGGCCTCACTCCATCTTCTTATCCTCCCACACAGAACCCCCACTGACCCTCACCCTTCACATCCATCACCCCTATTTTCTTCATTTTGCACAAATGGCCAGCTGAGATCTTCTTTCACCATCTACCTTTTCTAGAATTCTATCATTTCTACAATTGCTATTTCTATGTCTCTCTCCACCACAACCACTAGACTGGAGGGTGCAGATGGGAAGTGTGTCTGGCTCAATGACTATTCTTGAAATTGAACCCCCCTCCATGGTGAGAACTCTTAACCGTTCAAGAAGTAAAGCAAGGGGCCCAGATTTCCAAGGGAGGTGCAGAACTCAAAGTCTCCTCCCACCACCCACCCCACCTCACCCCACCCCAGCCCCACCAGCTCAATCCACTTCCGTTTACATTCTAGCCGATTACTCATCTTTCTAGGGTCTGTATTTCCCCCAGGGTCTACTGTGTGCCCTGGTCCGGAGTAGCTAAGGCTACCCTTGCCCCCTGATGCCAGCAGGTGCACACGGAGGCGCTCCAAGTTTGCTGTATCTGAAGCCTCCGATTCTCTGAGGCTAAGAACCACTCTCCATCCCGGGATCCTGCAGATCAAGGGCCAGTCAGTGGGCACCCAGTATTTACAGCTTGGATCTGAGAGCACCGCATCCCGCCAGGCACACGCCGGCGGGCATCGTGTGTTGGTCTGAGTGTGCAACAGTCGGTGCCCCAGCAGGGCACACGCGGTAGAAGCCCAGGTGTGCGGGCTTGGGTCTGTGAACTGCTAGTCTCGAGCCTGCACACCGATGGCGCCTCTCCCTTGCCAGTCTGCATATAAGGGACTACGTGCCAGCACGAGGCACAGTTCGCACACGGAAGCTCTTCATGGGCAGGGCGCTGGCCCAGCTGCCCTAGCCCTGGCGCGGGTCAGCGGCTCCTGCACCGCGTCCCTCCGCGCCCGGGTCCTGCGGAGCAGCGGCGCGGCCCGGCTGTTCCCGCCGGGACACCCTTCCCGCGCCGGCCCGAGGCCCTGAGGCTGGAGCTGTTCCGGGCCCGCGGCCCCCTCCCCGCTGGACCAGCTCTCGACGGCTGTTCGGGGACCGGTGCCCACGCCAGGCCTCGGCTCCCGCGGCTGTTCCGGTCCCGCTGCGCCCTCCCCGCCGGACCGCGGCTCCAGCGGCTCTTCTCGCCTGCGCCCCTCCCGCCCCGCGGCTGTTCCGGGCCCCGCGCCCTCCGCCCCGAGGCCGCCGCGCGCCCTGGGCCCGGCGCTGCGAGGGCGCGGCGGGAGGGGGCGCAGCGCGGAACAGCCGCCTCCACGGGCCCCGTAGCTGCTCACCCTCCAGGGCCTCGAAGATCGCCTGCGCCATCTTGGAGCCGCCGCCGCCGCCGCAGCCGCCGCGGGAGCCCAAGCCGGGCTACGCGAGCATTGTGGGAGCAGCGGCGGTGGCGGGGTTGGGGCCGCCAGGGGGCGCCCGAGAGCCGCCGCCGAGCCCCCGGCCACTGCTGGCGGGACCCCAGCGTCCCTAGGCTCCCGCATCTCGCCCCGGTGGCGCAGTGTCTGGCGCCTCCGGGCCCCATCCCCACCTCCCTGGAGGACCTCAGTGGGCCGCGCCCAGGGGACCCTCCCGCCCTGTTATCTGAACCACTCACCAGACCAGACCCCCCACCGACAGCCCGACCCTGCTCCCATCCCAACTTTGCAACACCAGCTCCAGCTCACGCGGACCACTCGACTCTGTCACAAGGACTCCCGCAAACCCCAACTGGGCGACCCAGGTTCCACCCCTTGTCACAGACTTCCCTCCCGCGGAAGCCCCCATCTTTCCCCACCACCGGTCTCTCCTCGTGTAACTTCCCATCACTGCCTGGGCTTAATCAGGGCAGCAGAATAGAACAGACATTATGATTGATGTATGTGTATAGGTGACTCTATGACCAGTGTGATTCTGCAATCTGTACAATCAGAAAAATGAGAAATTATACCCCAATGATACAAATGTATGAATTGCCAAGATCATTGTAATGTCATGTGTAGATTAAATAAATAAATAAATAATAAAAAGCTTGTGACACTGAAAAAAAAAATCCCTTATCACCTCAGATTCCTCCATGGCTGAAGACCCCCCCCCCATTTCCACCTTTCGGGGGCCTCCTATTTTCCTTTCCTATGGATCCATTCCTGCTTCTACAGGGACTCCCATTTTCTTTTTTGAAACAAGGTCTTGCTGGATTGCTGAGGGTCTCCCTAAATTTCCTAGGCTGGCCTCAAACTTGAGATCCTCCTGCCTCAGTCTCCTGAGTAGCTGGGATTACAGGCATGTGCTGAGCCCTGCTAAAGACCCTATTTTTGATACATAAACCCCCAGTGCTCAGCCAGTCACTCCCAGCCCAGCCTCACAGAGGTCCATTCAAGGTCTCACAGGGACCCTCCCACCTACCTCTCTCTGTATCTTCCCCCAGATTCATTCATTCTCTCTCTCTCTCTCTCTCTCTCTCTCTCTCTCTCTCTCACACACACACACACACACACACACACACCCTCACCCTCTATACAACCAAATTCTCTTAGCTCTAAAAATTCACTGATCCTTTCCCATGAAGGAGTGGGAGAAAACAGACATTCAATCTTTTTTTTTTAATATTTTTTAGTTTTCAATGAACCTTTATTTTATTTATTTATATGTGGTGCTGAGGATCATGGAATCATAGTCTAGCAGGCGAGATAGGCTGTAAACAGTGCCCAGTGCCTCAAACATGCTAGGCAAGCGCTCTACCACTGACATTCAATCTTAAAAATTATTATGTTTTTTAGCCGGGCACGGTGGCGCACGTCTGTAATCCCAGTGGCTCAGGAGGCTGAGGCAGCAGGATCTCGAGTTCAGACCCAGCCTCAGCAACAGTGAGGTGCTGAGCAACTAATTCAGTGAGACCCTGTCTCTAAATAAAATACGAAATAGGGCTGGGATTGTGGCTCAGTGGTTGAGTGCCCTTGAGTTCAATCCCTGGTACCAAAAATAAAATGAATTTTAAAAAAAATCTTTAATGGTTCTGGGGATTGAACCCAGGGCCCTGGGTCTTGCTAGGGAAGTGCTCTACCCCATGCTGTGCTGAGGTGCATCCCCAGCCCATCTACTTTCATTCTGCAGACCCCCAAACCACTACATACAGATCCCCTAAGGAGGGTGTGTAGCTCAGTGGTAGAACACTGCACAGTATGTGTGAAGCCCTGGGTTCAATCCCCAGCACCCAAATAAATGAATAAATACATTTATCCTAAAAATTAAGCAATATTCATTCAAAGCTTCTCCCCTTGTGGAATGCTGCCAGTTCACTGTTCTGATGACTTGCTGCACAGACCCTCTGTTTATCCACCACCCAAGACTCATTTCTAACAATGAACTCCCCATCCTGCTCTGAATCACCCCTGTTCCCCCACTACTACCACCACCCTCTCCATTCCCCCTTGCACATGAGCCCTGAGCAAATATCTCCCACAGAAAACCCCCTCTTCTAGACTCTATACCTGGCTCCTTTCCTGGGAAACTTGAGACCCAGGGCCTACCTATTGCCTCTCTGGCAGGAGTAAGAGCAGGGTTCCCTCTTCGTATAACTTTATTATTATTATTATTATTATTATTATTATTATTATTCAAGTAATAATATATCCACATTCATTTTTTAAAATTTTGGACGTCTACTATGTGCTGTACTGTTCTAAATGCTGGGGACACATCCCTGACAAAAAGACAAAAATCCTTGCCTTTATAGAATCATGGTCTAGCAGGCGAGATAGGCTGTAAACAAGAGAGAGAGAGGTTCTGTGACTTTAATTTTTTCTGAGAGAAAACGAGGCTGTTTTAGTGAGGGTGATCAGGAAGGGTCTCTCTGAGGAGATGGACCTGAGAAATGAGCTGGAGTCAGCTATACGAAGAGAGAACACGAAGAACAGAGTGGACACTGGGGTGGGGCTCAGTGGTAGAGCACTCACCTGGCAGGTGTGAGGACTGGATTCCATCCTCAGCACCACATAAAAATAATCACACAAGATAAAGGTATTGTGCCCATCTACAACTAAAAATATATATATATTTTAAAAAAGAAAAGAAAGGCAGAGGGGGCAGGTGCAGTGCCTTAGGCCTCCAGCTACATGGAGACTGAGCACAGAGGATCAAAAGTTTGAGGTCAGCCTGGGCAACTTAGTGAGCCATTGTCTCAAAATAAAAAATAAAAAATGGGGCTGGGGTGGTAGCTCAGTGGTAGAGCGCTCACCTTGCATGCATGAGGCACTGGGTTCGATCCTCAGCACACATAAATGTAAAATAAAGATATTGTGTCCACCTAAAACTAAAAAAAATGTTAAAAATAAATAAATAAAAAGTAAAAACTGCTGGGGATTGGGCTGTGGCTGTGGCTCAGTGGTAGAGCACTTGCCTAGCATGCGTGAGACACTGGGTTCCATCCTCGGCACCACATAAAAATAAACAGATAAAATAAAGGCATTCTGTTCACCTACAACGACAGAATTTTTTTTTAAATGCTGAGGATGGAGGCTGGGGTTGTGGCTTAGTGATAGAGCACTTGCATAGCCTGTGTGAGGCACTGAATAAAATAAAGTCATTGTGTCCTTCCACAACTAAAAATTACAAAAGAAGAAGATTCCACTAACAAAAAGCAACACAAAACATGGTGGTTTTCCAACATGCACATAGTATATTTTGATCACAGCATATTTAAATTTTATTCTTATTTATTTATTTTACAGTA